CATACTCTTGTTGTGTCACATTTCTGCATAATGCTGCCTACAACCAGCACCAACAGCCTTCTATGGCTTGCAGCCTCCTTGCTTGAACATGCTTCAGCGCTGCCTGCACGCACCACATATTCCAGTGGTTATCAATATTCCGAGAGTATGACACAGAACCTGCACGTTGCGAACCGTCTGTATCGGGGGGGGCCAAAAGGTGGGATGAAAAGTGGTATTAAATAAGGGCTCTTATTTGCAATTACCCCAGCTGCCTTCATCTCACCTGCGGAGCCGTTTGGCTCTAGAGTCAAGGGAATAACAGCTCCTGTTTGGGTAGTGTCCCGCTTCACGTCCCCAAAATAGTATGTAAACCCCATTATAAACCTAAACCCTAAAACCCCTAAACCCCATGCCTTAACCGTAACAGTTCCTACTTGCAGGAAGGGATGCCTCTGGATCGAAGAAGTCCTGCGCCAACTGGTCCTGCGTAGGCAGTCCAACGGCGCGGAGAAGATTCGACTCCCAAACCCTTTCAGAGTATCTTGAGGGTTTAGGGTTTAGGGTTTAGGGGTTTGGGGTTTAGGGTTTAGAGTTGAAGGCAGTTTTGGTGCGAAAGATGAAGTGTCTAAAACCCTAAACCTAACCCCTAAACTCTAAACCCCCCAAACGTAAGCCCTCCAACGGTTTCGGGAAGGTTCAGCTGCAAGTTGCTTCACGAGCCCTACGGCTGCAGTTCCCTAAAGTGTAAGCTATTGTGGTGCATAGTTATATGGCTAGTCACCTATAGATATACAGGTTAGGCAACTGGAGCCCTAGAGTGGGTAGGTTGGCCCATGAAAGCCTCTCCCTATGCCTCCAGGGACCTTATTATGGGGTCCTTCAGGGGTCTAGGGCCCCAACTTGGAGGGATAGGGTCTTATCATGCTTGTAAACATGGTTTTCTTCAGCCAAGCAGGGGAAAGACGAGGCATCTCAAAGGCTTCCGTACTGTTGATGGTAGAAATCCTGCATTACCCATAATAGGGAATATACCATAATTTCCATAGCTTAGGGTCATTATGATACCCATAATAATCAGGAATATACCACAGTTCGCATGGTTTAGGGTCCTTAAGGTAATGCAGGATTCATATCATCAACCGTAGTTCATGGTGCAGGCAGCGAGGCCTCTGAAAGCTTCTTGTCCCTTTGTAGTGGCGTCGCCATGAAGCCCTACACCCTACTAAAGCCCTGAGCCCTAAACTCCAAAGCCCCACGCCACTTTGTAGGGTGTGGCTGTAGCTGCTAGAGGGGCCCCGACAACTAGACAAGGTTTTTGGGTAACATATGCTATAAGCCATAAGCTAAGGCGGAGGTGACTTCGGAATAATTCCGGTACGGGATTCAGGGCTGAGGGCGCATCGGCTTTGGTGCCACTTTGCAGGGATCTATGAGGCTTTAGGGTTGGTTTAATGTTGGGATCTGGCACCTCGAATTCACACCGGGTTCGGGTTTTGAGCCTGTCTCGAACATAACTTTTGCAGTCAAGGTCAGTCGTCACGCAAAGAACGAGAGCAATCCCTTCTTACGAAATCTATGGAGCACTACAAAGCGCCTAAACAGAACCAGAAGGTCTGGATATCCCGTAATGATTTATTTGCGTAAGCTCGAAAGGTGGGGTGCGTTTTTGGGTTACTGACTGCGGAGATGGGGACCTCCAGATGCTTCTCCAGGACCGGAATCAGGTCGGAATGGTATCGTCGCCCTCCCCTGGCGTTAGATGTTTGTGTTCATAGATTTCGGTTTAGAAGCGGGATCGCTGCTCGGGTCTTTCATGTCTCGGTACCAACTCGGCTCAACTACCCAAACACGTGGGCCGATTTGAATCAAGGGGTCCGTGCATAAGAAGGAGCCACCTGCGTAATATGGGGGCCTTAACAAGTAGAATGGGATTTGGAGGCCCATTACACTAAAGTTACACTAAGGGAACCCCAAAATAGTACAGCTAATTGGTAAGGCCCTTAGAGTAATCAACGAACAACCTCAAGCCTAAACCGCGCAGACCCAAGGGTGCTCTGGAAGCTCGCTATAATACGGGGGCCTTAAAATTAGACTTGGGCTTTGGGGCCCATTATACTGTACCTATAGTTATAAGGAACCCCCCCCAAAAAATAGTATAGGTAATCATCTGGGCCCCTACATTAGTTCGGGCGTTTGGGCTTCTGGAAGCTTAAACCCTCAGTGTCCATGTAGCGATACAAGTATATAGCTAAAATTTCCAAACTTAGGGGTACCTTGTTTGGGGTCCTTATAGTAAGGATCCTACTATGCAGGGTACTGTATTTGGGTCCCCTACCCATAAACTTGGTCCCGGACAATCCCTCCTCTAAGGACTTCATCCCAACCCCTAAACCGCAGACCCTAAACCGTAAGTCTCTGCGGTTTTGGGGTTCATGGCTTGGACGTTGCGACTTCAACCTGAACCTGAACCAAGGGCAGCCTCATCATCTTGGCAATCTCTGGGCGGCTCCTTTGCAGAAGGTCGGGTTAGGGATTAGGTCAACCAAGCCCCGGAGAACCCCTACAGTACGTTACAAACCCATGTGGACCCACTTGAGACCACAATACAACTCGCTTTGATACAGCTTCTTTACCATGTAGTTCAATATCAGTAGTGACACTGTTAAAGCTATGGCTATGACTTCTGGCGTTCGCGACTCTTCGAGTCGGTTTGGTCTACTCCAAGAACCGAAGCCAAGCCTCACGGAACTGTTGGAAGGCCGCTGTTTGGCAAGAAGCTTGCTTCAAAGCCTTGTGGGTTTCCAAATTGAAGAATCTGCTTCTACCCAGAGGATCCATAGTAGTTCCTTTTTGGGATTACCTTATAGGATTCTATATATGAGCCCCAAAAAGGAACTACTTTGGAGCCTTAGGGTATCTTTACAGAAGCTGAACCCTAAACCCTAAACCCCTAAACCCCTAAACCCTAAACCCTGTTTCTATCAGAATCTGACGCCGAAACAATCAACGCCCATTCCAGGCTCTCTCTTCATCTTCCTTCGTCACCTGCCTCTCTATAGACCCCTTTTAAAGGGCCCCTTGAAGGGAACCCTACATTACAGTACTCTTATAGTAAACCCTAAAAAGTTGGAAACCGGATTAAGGACAATTAGTGCTGGGATTCCTTATACATTATTCTTAAGGATTGAAGCCGTTGGGTTTCCAACTTTTGGGCTTCTACTGTATGGATCTCTTATCGGAGGACCCTGTGTAGGGATCCTATTGGGGGGTCTATTCAAGGGATCTATGTAGTTTTTTAATAGGGAGCATGTATGGTCCCTCTATACTACACTTCTGCTGTGGTAAGACACCTGGTTCTGGCAGCGACAGATGTGCATCTCTGGTCCATCCGCCAGCCAAGGCCCCAAATCCACAGCAACGGACTTCGAGTATATCCCTCCTATCGGAATGTGATAATTAAATATAATGAATACTTGTTGCACTACGCGTACAAGAATAAACAACATAAGAACAACACCATGGACAAACATCTGAAACATTCCGAGATTATCCCGGCACCCACGCCTTATCATGCCGCTCTACGTAAACGTGGACAGGATTTTTGAGATTTTTGCGCGGATCCTACAACATATTAACTGGTTATCTAAAAAAGGAACTACAACAGAGACTGTACCACAAAGCTCCAGCTGCATAAATAGCAGGTGTTTAGCCAAGTGTGTACCCCAGTAATTAGCTTATTAAGGTAACTGGAGCTCAAGGGATAGGCAGAGGAGGACATGGGCACCTGCTCGACTGATAAAGCCCGCTATATACGTGCAGTCACGGAGCATTGTTCACGTGCAGGAAGCCAGGTCAATGACCTGGCAACAAATGGGTAGTTCTCTATGTTAGGTCCTGTTATGTCCCTTTCAGGGTTGTCTCCTTCTAATGTTTCCGTACTATACTTGGGGCCCAGGGAAGGACCCAACTTAGAGAACCACCCAAATGGTAGACGCTCAAAACCTCAATAGTCATAAACCGATTAATACCCTAAACGCTCGATACATTTCCAGTTTCCCTGGGTCAATCCACCACGGAGACCCTGAACTCATACTTGGTGGTAGGTATGGAAGACTCTGCAAACTGAATATGAAAACTATCATAACTAGAAATTGAATCCTCGTCCCAATCAAGGTTTGCTGGGAATCAAGCCATTTTGCGGGATCTTGTAGCAGGCAGATGGTAATTGCAGGCCTCATATGCAACACCCTCTCACAACGTCGTGCCCCACGTCGTAAGAAGCCGCTGCATCAACGCCAGGTCAACCCTGAACCCTAAACCCTCAATCCTAGCCCTAAACCCGCAGCCCTCAACCCGAACCCTAAACCCAAAACCCGGCCTCCAGATCAAAGGCTCAGCCGCTTGTCGGCTACCCAAAGTCGCTCCAAAATTGTGTCTTGAGCCAACATGCGTAATGCTTCTTGCATGCCGGCTTATAAGGGTTCAGGGGCTTAGGGTTGAGGTTGTAGGGTGGTTCTAGTCCGGTTCCATTTTTGGGGGGTGATCACTTATGTGAAAGAGTGGCTGCAAAGGCCGACACGCTAGAGTCTGACGGAGTCTTGGAAGCTTGGGGCGGAGGCTGGTAGGCTTCGGCTTTTGCTTCCCGGATCACGAACCACAGTGCAGTTAGCGTAAGGCAACATACCCTGCAGGCCTAGCCAAGTCGAAAGGGCCGTCTTGATGTCTTTCGTATGATGTTTAGAGAGTTTTGCTAGAATCCCTCCTACAAAGCCTCTAGTGCCCGCGAAGACTGGGAAGGCCCATGGGCAGATGAGCACTTGCAGTACTGGGAATGGGCCCGACCCGCACCTTAAACTCTCGACCGACATCAAACCCACCGGGTCTTACGGTTGGTGATATAAACCCTGCATTAACTAAAGAACCCTAAACTATTGGACCTATGGTATATTCCTTATTATGGGTAATGCAGGGTTTAGATCATCAACCGTATGACAAGCAATCTCCACGGAGGCCCCCGCCGGTCACCGTTGGTGATTTTCAGCACGAAGTATCCTTAGGAGAAGCTGGCGCGGGCCAGTACCGGCTGGTGTGTGCTTGCTTCTTCTGCTGCGAACACCAATGCTACACAGATCCTGAACCTATAAGCCCAAACCCCTTAACCCTAAACTTCTAAACCCTAAACCGCTGTAAAGCCTCAGACCCTCAACCCTAAACCCAAGAACCGGGGGAAGCAAACCTCTGAAGCGCTTAACTGCGTGGTTGCAGACAAGCCACGGCTGGAGTCGATAACTCTCTCTACCTGGCGACTCTCAGGAGTTTAGGGGTCGATTAGGAGTGCAGGAGTTTAGGGAGTAGGAGTTTGGGGTTTAGGGGTGTGGGAGTTTAGGGTTTAGGGTGTTTTAGTTCCTAAGACCTGAGAGTTACTAAGGGTTTAGTTTAGGGGTTGGGTTTTAGGGCTTATATAGGGCTTCGGGCAGTGGCGGGTCTATGGCTTCCGGTGATGGAATCGCATCGCCGCAAAGGTTGTAGCCTTGCGGCCGTGACTAGCACTGATGCAAATATCTGTCGGTATACAGGTTGCACTGCACGAGGAATCCCGTAGCTTACCTTCAGAAGCTTGAACTAAGAGCCAAAGATCGTAGATGCACTTTGATCCCCAAGCCAATCCGAGATGCTTGCTCATTGCTCTTTGTCCACCTCGAGAAACTCAAAAACACTGACTCAAGCTGCGAGAAAGATCGAATTCCCGGTCTTTCCAGAAACCAGCCCGGAAACAACAAAAGCTATCACACCAGATCCCATATGACTGTGCAGCTTGGAACCACCCAGAACTCGATGGCTTGTGTTCAGGCTTTTTGGCTCGGGCCGTTAGGTGCTTCTACTGCGAGCAACCCTTGGCGGAAAGCAACAGGCCAGCAGCGACATAGCTGGCGTGATCGCCACCGGGGATGATGCACTGAGCGAACAAGTTCCTGGTGGATGGACTTCGCGGGACGGAGGGGCGATTCTGAACATGGGTTGCTAGGCTTGGTACTTGCTTTTGCCACAATGCCCAGAATCTGGGGTGCTCAGGGATCCCACTTTCTGCAGCTTTTGCAGTAGGGGGCTTCTGGCATAACGCCACAACACCCCATTGACATCCTCACTCATCCTCTGTAAAGCTGTATAAACTGTCCTTAAACTGTCTACAACCTTTCTGAACAGTCACGAGATCCGTTCAAAAACCGTTCTAAACCCATGGAAAACCTCAAACGGAAGTTCCACAAATTTCGATTGCCTTTACGAAGACCCTGGTAGACCCCTGTAGAACCCAAAACAACCTCTCAGATGAAAATCCTCCTGCCCTAAACCCTATACTAGGCCCTACATACCGATACCCGAACCCCTAAACCCTAACAAGCAACAGATATCTTTGTTGCTTCTCCCCTCACAGAACCAGTCCCGGAGCTGTTGTCGAGGAGTTTGATCGTCAGGTCCCGCCCTCTTCCAGCCATCCTGAAGGAAGGGGGGAAGTTAGGACCTATGCGGTTCAGGGTTTAGGATGTAGTTTAGGGCATGGGGTTTTGGTGCTTAGGTTGGGAGGTGTGCGGGGTTTAGGAATTGGGGCTTTAGGGTCCGAGAGGGTGTAGGGTTTTAAGGTTTTTTTGTCTGTGGGGTTAAGGCTTCCACCGGGTCTCTCATAGATTCAGGTATTATTTTGTTCAGGCGTTTTAGGGCATACCAGAACTAGACCCGAGTCTTGAGTTTAGGGTTTCTTCTGAATGAGTAACAGCTTACCCTCATATGCTGTCTACAGCAAGATCTTGTGGTTCGCCGCAGAATTTCCTCACAAGATGGTACCTACTTATGGGTGACTAAGTACCTAGGTCCTCTTTGTTTTCTTATTATTGGTGAAGGGGGCGGGTGACATCCTACCTATACTCTCGATTGTAGTTCCTTTTGGTTAGCCAGCTTCTATGGTTAGAACCCTACAATATGAAACCTGTTAATTTTGCGGCTTTGCCAAAGCCTCAAAGACCGTGAATTCCTAATTGATGTGTGGGCACCCATGGACCCAAGAAAACTTCTGGACCGCAGGAGCCCCCAAACGAAAGTACATCTGCCCTTGCTGACGCAAGCTGCGCCTGAGTCGACCCCGCCAGATGCACTTCCTGACTCGGGCAAGGCGCATGAACCGCGGAGGCTAACTCAGGGGGCTTAAGAAGTAGACTAAGGCTTTTGAGGCGTCGTATTTAGTGCTTGTATGCTGGGGAACCCTGGGGAAGAGTCTTGATAAATTTCAGGCCTCTCTATTATGCTGACTGCGGTGCCGCAAGACGGTTTGCTATGGAGAATAGGAGGTCCTGAAAGCTCAGCACGCTAGAATCCAGAAGTACTTCTGCACTGACCCCGAGCCTGCTCCTGATGATGAATACGAAGATGGTATGGTTAGGGTTCTGTTAGAGAACCTACAGGACCTATAGAACCTATGCTGATAACAGCTAAACCCTAAACCCTCCACATCCTAAACCCTTTATTCCCGAAAATTTATAATCCCTCAACCCAGGGCGTTTTGGGCTTTGGAGGGCCGGAGTCCAGGAATCCAGGAAGAGTTGTCCTCATCGCCGCTTGCTCCGTATATGAGCTTTTCTTCTGGTATTTTTTGCGATGGTCGCAATAACATTGGCAAGAACGCAATTGATCATGCAAATCCAAGAGTCTGCCGAGCATACAGTGTTCTTGCTTGTTGTTTTCCCTATTCTGCCATTAGATTTCCACCCACGATTATTGGAAGGTCTGTTGGTCTATTACCATTGTTCGAAGGTCTGCTCAAAATCGGTGGGTTCATTTAGCGTTCGGGGTTGGGGTTTGGGTCAACCAAGAATCTTACACTGCAAGTCTGGGTTTCACTGCCGCGATCCATAAGCGTTTCTTCTGGGATCTACGCAGAGAAGAAGGGCTAATACCACAAAACTCCAAACCCTAAACCCTACACCCCTAAGCCCTAAACCCCTAAAACCCCAAACCCTAGCCTCCAATCCCAGAAGCGAACTCGGGCGCTGAGGTCATGGCTTCCAGTCATCGGCCTTATGCCCAGCGGAAGATGAAGCCGGAGGGATCTGATAGACCTTCGGGTTAAGGCTTGTGGGTTGTTTTGGGAGCGCTTACGGTTCAGATGGGTATAGGGTTTCTTTGGGGATTCAGGTTTATCGGGTTTCTACAAAACAGACGTGGGATCTCAGGGTGAAGCGGGATTTCAAGTCTTGCAAAGATTTATAAGGGCCTATGCCACATGATAGCAATTCCAGCGCGTTTCCTAGGGGCGCGCAGTGCTAAATCACGACGTACCAAGGTGGAGTGAAGAATGGGCCACAGAACGATCGGAATATCAAGGAGAATCCTCGTGTGTTTCAAAGAAGCCTAATATCATGTCACTAACATCATACCCACAGTATCTGACAATGCATGTCTTCATAACGCATTGGACTGCAAGGTATCGGTATGTACTGGCATCTATGAAGCAAAGTTCAGCAAGCACTGGTACGCAACAATCTTATTAGGCTGCAGCGGCTTGCATAGCAATGGATAGTGTTGATGGTCTAAACCCTGCATTACCGATAATAAGGAAAATACCATAATTCCCTTAGTTTAGGGTCATTATTAATGCAGGACTTCTATCATCAACCATATGGATATCAAGCTGCATCCTGGTGTGACATCCCAGAGTGCTGTTCCACTCAAAGTGCATTTTGGGGGAAGAGATTTGGGAGTTTCCGAAAATGAGGGGTACCCTATTTGAGGCTCCTTATAATAAAGGATCCGACTATTTAGGGTACTATTTTAGGGGGTCCCCTATTTTCGGAAACTCCCATCTTGGTCAATCTCCAAAGTCAAGTGCGAACCAGCACAGCAAACATGCTGTGGGCTGAACAGATTAGGTCGACGTTCTCATTGATTGGCTTGCAGTTGGTAGAACAGCGCATGTAGTACGTGATCCGAGCTGGCATGGCAGATGGGTGGGCGGGTAGCGTTGTGCATGGATACATATACACACGAGATGGCTGCATACAGATTGTGTTCACATTACCATTTAGGGTACATATATTTATAGATATACAAACAGATAGACAGACAGACGGAAAGACAGATGGGTAGGTAATCAGGTAAGTAGATAGATAGATCGACAGATACACATCCCTTGTACTTTGCCTGTGTGCGCTTACGTGTCCGAGAAATTGCGCCGCACCTCTTGAATGTGCATTCATCTACTCAAATTGCATGTGTCCACACCCTACTCTCCAGACATGCACACATCGCCCAAACTTACCAACAGGACAGCTAGACATGTCCTGCACCTGAAGCCACCAGCCCAGTTCGGAATGCAAAGATCCTGAGGCCGGCTCCATGACTTCCCGCTTGTTCAGCAGGGTATACTCCAAGTCTTCATCTGGAACGGGCGGAAGATGCACTAAACGTTCAACATCGCTCCCTAAAAGGTAATACTTAAACTTGCGAATCCCAAGTTCCCTAAGTCCAATCAATACCTGGCTCAGGGCCCATACCTCACGTCGCAAGAATTGCGCGAGTCTATCCTGGATAGGGAATCTCACCACATCCAGCCTTGAAATCGGGCCACTTCTTGCCGATTTCGTAGACCCGGACACACTAAACCCGTCCCGAGAACAGCCCTTGTAGTGAATCCCAGGAAGTAAAAACATGAGCAAGGATAGTTGCTGCTGAGATTCTCTCTACACGTGCAAATAAGCGGAGAAGGAGAATCATAATCCAAGTGTCTGGCTTCCCTAAACCCTCATTTCCAAAAACTCTATCCCTAAACCCTACTTTACAGGAGCCCTGAGCAGTCTCATACGGTTGATGATATAAATCCTGCGTTACCCATAATAACGAATATACCATATTCCCATAGTTTAGGGTCATTAAGGTAATGCAGGATTTATCTCATCAACAGTATCTTGCCCGCCCCCCCGCACGACTGACTCAGACATGCTCCTGAGGCGACTCAACCGGGCTTCCTTTGGAGGGCTTTTGCAACATTTGGGAGCTTCGGAAAGTTAGGGTACCTCATTTTGGGGTCCTTACAATAAGGATCCTACTATTTAGGGTACTATTTTAGGGGGTCCCCTATTTTCGGAAACTCCCACATTTTAATCTATAAAGGTGGTATACGATCGGGGCAGGATCTGTGGAAGCACCCTGAAACCTTAAATCCTTAACCGCTAAACCAACAACCTGCTAGGCTTGTCATGGCCATGAAGGAATGTAAGGGCAAAGCTTTGGCACATGTGCAGGATGGTCGCGGGAAAAATACCGCTTTCTTTCACTAGTTGCCCGTGCATCTGCTGACAACGTGGCCAATACCTGGACCCCAAAAGTATGTAAAATGATGGCCTTTTATAGGTTTCGGGCCATTATCTTACTTACTTTTGAGGTTCTAGGTAAGTCAATCCCTGAACTCCCCCAGCGCGTCTTCGAAATCGGCTAGGCTCATGGCCGTCCATGGAGACGAGAAGACGGAAAGAACGCCTGAGCAGAAGCAAAAGATAATTTGATGTGTAGCCCAAAGGGTCCAAGTGGTACTTAGTAGGTATTTGGGCACCAAGAGCATATACTAGAGTATTGCTGGTTAAGAGGACTTTGAAGTAACCAGGGAGAAAAAACAACAATTACGGACATTTACTTCATGACGGTTCCATGCAGGAGCAGGTCCACATCAAAGTTTTCACCGACGGTACTCCAGAATCGTTCATACTTAAAGGATCACAGGACTTAGTAACTAGGGTTATAATTAGGGCAACTATACTTATAACTACTTATAACCCCAATTAATGTACTTATAACCTTACTTCCTAAGTCCCATGATCCCGCAAGTAGCTCGGGCTAGGAAGCTGGCGGACGCGACTGGAGGTCCCAGGGAGCTCCCAGGTTGAAGCTTACATAAGAGCCTCCATAGATTGAAACGTGCTTTGGGCAAAGGATACTACAAATGAATATGATTAGTGACTACCTAGACCCCCAAAGTAGGTCAAATAATGGCCCAAAACCTTTAAAAGGCTCTTATTCTACATACTTTTGGGGTCCAGGTGGAGGAGGGTAACTAATCTTGCTAATCACTCTGAGATTGGGTGAATACGGCGGGAAGTGTAGGCTCGGGACCCTTGGATGGGATGAGGTACTGCGATGCGAAAGCGGTGCATAGCGTAAACCCTAAACCCCAAACCGTGGGCTTACTTGGAGGTTCATGGGTAGTTATAAGTGGGGTTATAAGTCCCCTAACATGAGTTATAAGTAGAGTTTATAACCCCACTTATAACTACCCATGAACCTCCAAGTAGGGCTTGTAAGGGTTACGAGGCGACCAGGGCTCAGGGTTTCATGATCCTCGCCATGGCTTTGGGCTTATCGGGCTTAGAAGTTTTACCTTATACCCAAATAACCTACCTTTTTCGGGACTTACATAAGGACATCATAGCAAGCCACCCGAAAAGGGTAGGTTTCTTAGGGTCAAGGTAATTAGGGCATAATTAGGGGTTAGAGACTCGTCGCCCACCCACGGACATGCGAGGCAGCCGAGCCCGGAGCTTCTTGAATCGATAGCCCAGAGGATGCAAAGGCTTGAACAGCACAGCAGCGGCACCGTTCAAGGGTGGGGGGAGGAGTTTTATGGAGTTGAGGGTGTAGAGTTGGACTTGGGGTTTGGATGCTTGGGATTTTCGGGGTTGAGTGGCGGGGGTCATTCGCAGCACTGGAGTGGGGGCCTCTACAACCACTTGCACCCTTCGTCCTCTCGCCATATACAGTCGCAGAGCCATCTGAGAACACCGGAAGGGATGCCAAATGCCACACGCTGCAGAGCTCAATAAACGTCTAAATCCGTTTCATCATTTAGGGTTTAGGGTCTAGCGTGTAGGTTTTTTTGTGGCTGGCATACACATCGGCAGAGATCCCAAAAGCACGAAGCCGAACAAACTTAAAGTACTGAAGCCTCACTTAGAGTCGGAGTCCAAAGCGCAACAATCATCCAGAGCAGCCGAAAAGGCCAAGGGAATAATCAGAGCAGCGGTGCAGTTTTCTGTAAGGCAGATAACTTCAGGCTTCGGGGTGTGGTATTCACGGTCAAGCTCGGAGATTTAGCTTTAAGGGCCAAGGCTCACAGGCTAACCTTAAGCGGACAACCAGGAGTCTGAACTTGCCTGCTGTCGAACTTCGATTTTCCATCCAGCGGCGGCTGCTTCTTGCAGTGGCATGCCGGAGAACACCCCATGAATCCCCTAAACATCGGTAGACTTGAAGCTCTGAAAGTATAAACCGGAATATTCCTGAGGCCACTGGCTGTGCTAGCTCATAGAATCATAGCCTAAACTTCCTAAACCCCTAAACCATGAACCCCTATATACTAAACCCTAAACCCCTAAACTTAAAGCCTCTAAAGCCTTAAACCCCGCAGTCTCTACGCTGTCTTCTCGGCCGCGGGAGCACTGGCACCCGCGCGCAGGGCGAAGCAGGCAGCGGCGAGGATCAAAAGAAGCAACGCGGAGGTCCCGAACTCGGTGGCTTGCAGTTTGAGGATTCTACTGGCTTGATGGATGAGAACCCAACGGGGAAATTAAATAAATAGAAATAAATATAAATAAATAAATTAGTAAATATATAAATAAATATATATATATATATATTATATACATATGTATATTATACACATATACATATATATATATATATATATATATATATATATCTGTAGTAGAAAGTTGGAGTTCTACAGTAAGTAGCCCCCGCTCAGATACTTAGGACGCTTTGGAGAAGGCAAGCCACAATTCTCTCAGAAACGGTAAATACCAACCCCAAAGGGTACATGTAAGCTTGTTGAGTCGGGCTCGGGTGCACGGAATCTGGAATTGAACATAGCGATAGCAACGCAAAAATAAGAACAGTAACACTAATTCGAGGTATATGAAGAATCATAATACTACAAGTTAATAACTAATAACTTACTAGCCACTGCAGCATTAACTCAGCATGCTGCTCTTGTAATTTCGGATTCGGCCTGCTGGAAGGTATTTGCAGGTGTACCAACAAAGCAAGTCACCCTGTGGGCCAACATCGTGTGGCCTAAACCAGCAGCACAGCTATAGTTCAGGGCTTACGGCTAAGACTGCTTCGCACCCCAAGCTTGGATCCTGAGCTACAACTTAAGTACTAAGCATTGCTCACAATACAGTGGTGGTTTACGAGCCATGCAAGATTCTCTATGGAGTCCTCTTTCCTTTCGTGAAGCCCCGATGTGAGCTTTTCGGGAACCCTAAACCACCAAACCCTGTCTTCAAAGCCTTTGTCCGAACCCCAAACCCTCAACCCTGCCTAGACTCAGACCCCCCAAACTACCTTCTAATATAATATATCTTGAAGGCCCACTGTTATGGACCATACGGGCACGACCGAAGGGCACTTGAAAGGTCCTGGTAAACCTGAACCTAAACCCGTAAAGCCTCAACCAACCCTAAACCTCAACACCCCAAACCCTCAACCCTAATTACCCCCCAAAACCCAAAACCCCTAAAACTCAAAACACAAACCCCAAAACCGGAGTTCAGGAGAAGCCGCTAAGCATCCGACTACAGACATTGCCTGCAGCGCGGGCAGTGCACCGCCAAGGTTCACCACCTGGGAAGATAGGGGCCGAGGGTTTGGGTTTAGGGCTTGTAGAGGTTTAGGGTCTGTTTAGGGTTTAGGGCGTGGAGTTTGGGGTTTGGGGAATGAGATCGGGAGTTGTACGCTGTGACGTTCGGCGGTTTTTGGGCGTGGAGCTGCTTCATTGGCCATTGCAGGGTCGGAGTGCACCATCGAATGAACAATGATAGATCAAGTCATGTTCTAGCGACGTCTTGGGTTTCTGAGATGTACTGACACAGTGAAATGTACACACCTGGCATATCTGCGCCTCTTGTTGCGAAATTGCTCTTCATGCGAGGCTTGTTCAGGTACTTGGAGCCTATAGTTGCTCCCAAACTCAGATCTACACTAACCCATAGGCCCCAAAGTAATTCCTTTTTGGGACTACCTTATAGGATTCTATATATGAAACCCCAAAAAGGAACTACTTATTTGGGGCCTTTGCTTAAAGCCAGAATATCCCAAACTCTGAAACCGAAAGTATCTTGACTCCTCTCTACCCCTGAGTGCTCCGGTTGATGATATAAATCCTGCATTACCCATAATAAGCAATATACCATAATTCCCATAGTTTAGCGTCCTTAAGGTAATGCAGGATTTATATCATCCACCGTCGGACCGCAGAGCCCTAAAGCCCTGCTGCAAATCCGCATAACCCTCTTGAGAACATCCCTTCTACAAAACCCCCCAAAACCCTAAACCCCTAAACCCTAAACCCCTGAGCCCTAAACTCCTAAACCCTAAGTCCAAAAAGGTCCAAGTAATAGCCTAGTACATACTCTTGGGCCCCAAGCACCTGCTAAGTAGCTACTACATTGTTGCTTGGACCCTTTGGAACCCTTGCAGAACCCCACAAAGACGAACAGAGTTTTGGGGCTTCCATACTGTAATTGTTAGTACACTATAACCCCCAAACGATATTCTAATTACTAAGGCCCCTATATTACAGAACCCTTATAGTAGCCCTTTAAAGGAACCCTTTTCTAGTTGACAGAACCCCAAAAAGACGACATGCACCTCGAGCACAAGAAGCGCTGCGAAGAGAAAGGCTCCAACACCTGGATGTACTTCCCGCTTTGCTTAATTCAGGTCTAACATACGGGCGTTCATGATTAGAATAGGGTTCCTGACAAGGGCCCCTTAAAGGGTTCTACAAGGATTATAGGGATGTACTTGCCCCTTGCCAGGTTTTGTTCGTGGCAGTGTTCAGGGTTTAGGGGTTTAGGGTTTGGGGTTTAGGGTAGGCTTGCAAGGTTTTGTTGATGAGTTTAAGGTCCTATCTAGTGGCCTTAATAACTAAAATGGGGTTTTAGTGCCCATTATACTCGAATTATAATAAGGAACCCGCCAAAATACTATTGCTAATTATCTTGGCCCCTATAGTAGGGCTTCAGGGCGTCATGATACACGACGAGCATCAGCGATCGGACTGGCACAACCGTACAGCTGCCAAGGTCAATGTGCACGATGCTTGTCAGCGCCTGCATATGGGGTTGATTAAAATTACGGTTCTTTTTGGTCCCCTAGACTATATAAGGAATGTATTATTAATAATACAGACCCCACAAGGCCCAATAATTGTCATCAACCTCCATATGTGCAAGCTCGAGGGAGAGCTCGGGCAGCATCAGTGTTGTGTCGTGTACTATCATGATCTGTGTTGTTGCTTCTTTCTGAGCCGTGTATAACAATACCATGTAGTGTGGCAGAACCCAAGAAGGACAAGAAGAACCTGGGCAGTACTAATGATCCTCTTGCTTTGGCAAAACCACAGCAAGCCCGGAGGATCCACAAGGTCGAAAGAGTTAGCTGGCATTCAGATCGTGTT